CCGGGCTGGTTCATATGGGACTAACATGTCACTAATATATTTTGGTGCGAGGCCATGGAGAGATTTGTAACAAGCAGAGCTGTTTTAAAGTCTATTCTCTGAGCCACAGGAAGCCAGTGCAGAGACCTGAGGACCGGACTAATGTGGTCGTACTTCCTGGTTCTAGTCAGGACTAATATTGGTCGTACTTCCTGGTTCTAGTCAGGACTAATGTGGTCGTACTTCCTGGTTCTAGTCAGGACTAATGTGGTCGTACTTCCTGGTTCTAGTCAGGACTAATGTGGTCGTACTTCCATGGTTCTAGTCAGGACTAATGTGGTCGTACTTCCTGGTTCTTGTCAGGACTCGAGCTGCTGCATTCCAGTCCCTGTGCTCCTCAGAGTCCCAGCAGGAGGCCAGTCCCTGTGCTCCTCAGAGTCCCAGCAGGAGGCCAGTCCCTGTGCTCCTCAGAGTCCCAGCAGGAGGCCAGTCCCTGTGCTCCTCAGAGTCCGGGCTGGTTCATATGGGACTAACATGTCACTAATGTACTGGTATGTGTTAAATATCTTAAACCAGTCACAACCCATTATAGTAATTCAGTTTGTATTCTATGTCAGGACAGATAGAGAAGTTCTGGTTTGGTATAAAATATGAAAATGTCGATACAAAAGCGAATAAGATCCAGCTTATGTCCTCTCAAGCCCTCGATCCCCTGAGCTTATAGACAATCTTCCATAACAAAAAAACCGGAGCATTGTTGGTGGAAAAGCCGTATAGACAAACCCCACACAGCTCTAAAGTCAAACACTCACACATGTGTCTTATTGAAACAACATGTGACGACAAGTAAGCTCTCAATTCACCAGCGAGGGTTGTTTCCAGACTTTACATTTGTCCACAGCCACAAACACCATTGTTGTGGTTCGGGTTTAAAAGAATGAAATGTGAATAATTTATTTCATCTGTAAAAAATGTGACGAGGTGAGACCAGGACGAGAGAAACAGCAGCAGAGGCTTCAACACCCGGACGGTGTCATGGTGTGGAGGTTTTATTATTATTTTGACCTGGTTTCATTTTTACTTATTTGTTCTTGTGTAGCTTGAGTTTGCTTCCTGTCTGTCTTGTTTGTTAGCTCCGCCCTAATGTGACTCACCTGTATCTCCTGTGTGTATTAATACCATGGATCTATAATAATAACTGGATAGGGTAGAACTATCTTAGAGCTGTCCCACCCATGGCCACAGGGGGCGCTGTGGTACTGCAGACTAAATTCACGAGTGCTACCCAGAAAAAAGTCCCATAGAACTCAATGTAAATTAAAACAGCTCGACCTCAGCTGACAGAGAACCTGACAGAGAACCTGACAGAGAACCTACAGCTTTCATAAAGATCAGATTTTGTGTGGATTTTTGTGTCCCTTATCATCCTGAACTTTTTTCTTCTTAAATCCTTCGGTTTTCTTTAAATCCACACTTTACTGCAACAAACTTTGCTCTTTTCCTTCCTGCTCTGACTCCGCTCTACCGCTGCTCTGATTGGTCAGAGCGAGGCCGAGCCCCTCTCTGCGCGTGCATGAAAGCCACACACGTATTTGGCACAAAGCATCATGGGAGATAATCCACTGCGCAGAACCGGGAGGACCAGACGATGCCCAAATACAGCGCCCGTGAAGTCCCATGCACCACTGAGCACAGGCCATTCATTTGAATCTTGGCGCCATCTTGGATCACCGGGGCTTGGCTTTTCCCCACCTGTGGTCCGTCCATAGTCTCTACCATGTTTGTCCCTGTCTTCTTTTTCAGTTCTCAAATTTGGTGTTTTTTGTCACTCTGGATTTTGATTTTATCAAATTACACATAATTTTCAGTCCTACATTTTGGGTTCCATTTTTCTTCATTTCCACACGTGACTGTAAATGTTAACGGATGTAGTGACGCATTTCTCCGCCGTTGAAACTAATGCTCCACCACTTTTGCCTTCTGTGGGCTTTTTCAAAATGGCCGCGAAGGAGGAAAATGTGAAAAAACGCAATAGCTGACACTAGCCCCATTCATTTAACGAGTGCATTCTGAAGTCCACAGCAGCAAAACTGGACTGGTCTAAAAAAAGATATACTCCCCTCAGCAACGACAGCATCTGGAACGTAGCTTTGGACCAAGACTCACTTTTGGACCATTCTGTAAAGACGTTTTCAAGACGAAAGAAGGCGTCATACAAAAGCATTGGGTAATTCTCTTTCTGGGTACACCCCCACAGGCAAGGAGTGAGATTGCATCGTGCTCATGGACCTTTTGGAGCCGGAACCTGCTCCCACTGGCACAAAACCTCTTCAATCATTGAGATCATTGAAGTGAATATTAATTATAGCACTAAAACTGCTTTCAAAAAGGAATCAAATGAAATCTCTATCTTTAGCTTAATAAAGAAGCAGGTAAAAAAGCAGAAAAAAGCTGTCGATTCCTCAAAACAGATGAGAGAATAAACAGTTCGAACACAGAAATGCCATAATAACAAACACGTTGGAGCCGTGGGTCCAGAGGGAGCGGGACGAGCTCCATAAATTAACATTTATGGAAAGTCCTTAAAAGTCATTAAACGTCCTGGGAAAAAACCCAGAGGGAAAAAAAGTGAAAAACCTTGGGGAGGACCACATTAAGAGACGGACCAGCTGTAGATGGGGATAGGGGTTTTTGTCGTTGAACATATCTGAAAAAACTTCTTAAAGCCATATTATATAGTGTTGATCATATCCCACTTCCACGACCCCGTTTTTTCTTCAGAGCACAATAAAACTTCCTACTTCTGTCCATATCTTGTTTTGTTCAGCACTTTGAGCTGCTTTGTGAATGAATTGTGCCGAACAAATAAACTGGGCCACAGTTATTATTGAAAATGACCTCAGGTGAGTTTAGTTTTAACCTGAAGATTTGAGGAAATGGGTGGAGTCATCTGTGCTCCTGCTGAGTTTGGAACTGATGGAACTAAGGCTATATCCACACGAAGACAAAACGCTTATAATTTCAGAAACTTTTTCTGTAAACACGGAGTTAGCTCAGTAAATGTGTGCGTCCATATGAATGTAGTCAATACGCCTGAAAACGCTGTGAAACTATGCCAGACCTGTTGGTGGCGCTGTGACGCAATGACGGGATCAAGCCCAAACTTCCGTGACGGGAACTGGGCATGCGCAGAATTTTGTAAACAGACAACATGGCGAGTGGGCGAGCTGGTACTACATTAGTATGGACGGACGATGAGGTTGAACTGTTGCTTCGGGTCGCACTGGATTACAAAACCAACAAGCTACATTGTTGTTGTCATTATTTTCTGAGTGCGGCGCATGCGTGCTTTAACAAGAGGCGGGGCGATGACGCAAGCGTCTCAGATACATTGCGGAGAGGCAGTAACCACGGAGCGGCATATACGGAGTTTTGAAATCTTTCCACTCTGGGACCTACTTTCAAAAATGTTCGTTTACACCCCCCCAAAACGCCGGCCTCGTATGGACGATACACTGGATTGATAAAGTATTTTTGCGTTTAGGCCTGAGCTTGACTTCGTGTGGACAGGGCCTAAAACCTGCAGCCACACTGGCCCTTTCTGGAACCGGTTTGAGACCCCTGCTCTAAACAACTTCAAAATCCCAGACAGCGTCGCAAGTGAAAGACATTGGGTTGCATCGGGTCATTTTTCTTGAGCGAACACTTGATTCTCTGTTGATTCTCGGATCTGTGTTGGCGGATTCTGCGGTTTTGCGATGTCCTCCTACTGTCGTGATTTAGGGCGATACAAGAAAACATTGAATTGAATTATCAAAAAGCTATGTGTTTTAGAAGTCATCACAATTAAAATCTGTATTCTTGAAAGACATGACATGAAATCAGAATGTGTTTTATTATAGCAAGACTACGAATTCCAAGGCCGTTTTGAATGTATTTTTGTACTTTGGTCTCTTCTTTGGATTCCTCTAGTCCAAAAAAGACCATCTGTTTACTTGATACCAGATGGTCTGATATGTTTCAGATCTGGGCAGGGCCAGAATTCAGAATGTCCACTGCCAATCTGTCTGTTCACATGTTTCTTTTTACGATCAACGGGCTAAATGGTAACTGGCTAGCACTTTAGCTGTCAACATTAATATTAATCACATGCCAGTTGTTTTAGGTTTCATGATATAAACAACCGCACCAGCCAGTGATCAGATAAGGACGGATCCGGCGCTCAGACGGAAAAATAAGTTTGTAAATGTTTAACTTATATACAATAAGCAGAAAAAACAGAGTATACTCACAAAATTAACACAGCAAATGTTACACCAGTACGGAAAATAGAAAGAGCTTAACAAAATAAGATAGAAACACACAAGGCATTCAAATCATGAATAATCACAGTTCATTAAAACGAGTGAAAATAGAAATCTACCTTCAATATGGACAGTGTGCTTCTAATTTCACTTTCTAATTCTGTGCTTCCAATATGAAGGATGGCGGTGGGTTCTGTCCAGTGTGGTCCCAGCTCAAAAGTGGCCAAAATGACGTGCGCTGACATGCTGCAATACCACCCCGGGCCTGTGGGGGTGGACCCGAATTAAGAATTAGCCAATGCGAACATATAGCATCTTCTTACCTCTCTAAAACGTCTTTACAGGATGGTCCAAAAGTTGGCTCTTGGCCCAAAGCTCCGTTCCACATGTGTGTCAATGCTGAGGGGGTGTTCTGGACCAGTCTAGTTTAGTCGCTGTGAATTTTTTAAGTCACACGTTAAATAAATGCGCTTGTGCAGCTGACGCATGCGCAGATGCGTTTTTTCACATTTTCCAGCCCCCGCGGCCATTTTGAAACACTCCATGTGAGCCCAATTTTTGGCCCATTAGTTAGAACGGCGGAGATAGGCGTGACTACGTTCGTTAATATTTACAGTCTATGGTTCAGTCCTAAATCCAGGATCTAAAACCAGGACTGTTTGATTTAGGTACTGGGTTTGGGATGGAACCCACCATGAAGGATGAGGCCTAGTGAGCATGGAGGAGAGGCCGGAGGAGGAGAGGCCGGAGGAGGAGAGGCCGGAGGAGGAGAGGCCGGAGGAGGAGAGGCCGGAGGAGGAGAGGCCGGAGGAGGAGAGGCCGGAGGAGGAGAGGCCGGAGGAGGAGAGGCTGCAGGAGTAGAGGCCGGAGGAGGAGAGGCCGGAGGAGGAGAGGCCGGAGGAGGAGAGGCTGCAGGAGGAGAGGCCGGAGGAGGAGAGGCTGCAGGAGGAGAGGCCGGAGGAGGAGAGGCTGGAGGAGGAGAGGCCGGAGGAGGAGAGGCTGCAGGAGGAGAGGCCGGAGGAGGAGAGGCTGCAGGAGGAGAGGCCGGAGGAGGAGAGGCCGGAGGAGGAGAGGCCGGAGAAGGAGAGGCTGCAGGAGGAGAGGCCGGAGGAGGAGAGGCTGCAGGAGGAGAGGCCGGAAAAGGAGAGGCTGCAGGAGGAGAGGCCGGAGGAGGAGAGGCTGCAGGAGGAGAGGCCGGAGGAGGAGAGGCCGGAGGAGGAGAGGCCGGAGGAGGAGAGGCCGGAGGAGGAGAGGCCGGAGGAGAGGCTGCAGGAGGAGGAGAGGCTGCAGGAGGAGAGGCTGCAGGAGGAGAGGCCGCAGGAGGAGAGGCTGCAGGAGGAGAGGCCGGAGGAGGAGAGGCCGGAGGAGGAGAGGCCGGAGGAGGAGAGGCCGGAGGAGGAGAGGCCGGAGGAGAGGCTGCAGGAGGAGAGGCTGCAGGAGGAGAGGCTGCAGGAGGAGAGGCCGCAGGAGGAGAGGCCGGAGGAGGAGAGGCCGGAGGAGGAGAGGCCGGAGGAGGAGAGGCTGCAGGACGGGTCACAAGGAGGAGTAGATGCTTGGTTTGGACCATTTTCTCTGCTCTGGTCCAAAATAAAATGTCAAATGCTTCATTAGCATTTTTCAAAAACTTATCATTCCTCCAGTGGATTTTCATTTGATCCACTTGGTTCGGACCATGAATCTTCTCTGCTCTGGTCTGGACCAGTGTAAAACCATACACACTGTACTGCAGCAACATCTCAGGTAGGAAAAAGAAACACAATTCAAAATTATAAAGCACAAAACAACAACTGTTTCAGAGCTACTTAGAACTTGCAGCCGTTTTCCAGCGCATTCTAAAGTAAATGAGTAGCACAGTTTAATGAAGTGAAATATTGTATGGAGAATTCTGGCCCGATCTCTTCAAGAGGACTTGGCATGTTCTTCATGTTCACGATTAGATAGATTGAAAATGTACATTTTAAGTACACAAGAGGCTACTCCACCTCTGCTGCTGTGACCCGTCCTGCTCCACCCAGAGGCTACTCCACCTCTGCTGCTGTGACCCGCCCTGCTCCACCCAGAGGCTACTCCACCTCTGCTGCTGTGACCCGTCCTGCTCCACCCAGAGGCTACTCCACCTCTGCTGCTGTGACCCGTCCTGCTCCACCCAGAGGCTACTCCACCTCTGCTGCTGTGACCCGTCCTGCTCCACCCAGAGGCTACTCCACCTCTGCTGCTGTGACCCGTCCTGCTCCACCCAGAGGCTACTCCACCTCTCCTGCTGTGACCTGAAGGGCTGTTCCTGATTATTACTATCATTAGCTGTTTAGAATTATCAATTGTATTTTTTGCTGCTACTGGACACTTGAATTTCTCCTACAGGGATCAATAAAGTATCTATCTATCTATCTATCTATCTATCAACAAGAGCCTTTGAAGGTCACACAGAATCTCTCCATCTCTCCTTTTGCCCACATGGTCCATCAACACCACTGTGATGGATCTGGACTAAATGATTTGTTTGGGCTGTTACCGACAGAGGAGACAGACTGACTGGTACTGTAGCACAGTAAAAAGCAGCCTCCATCCATCCCCCTGTGTTTGCGCGGCCGACGAGGGGTGTAATTACCGTCAGTACCAGTCGACTGAATCACTTTTCTGTCATCTGCAGTTTGTCAAGAACAGAGCGTTTGCTTCGACTCATAATCCTCGTGCATGCTCCTGACAGTGTCATAAAACGATAGCCTTGAGACACTCAGAGACGCACTCCAGGGTCTTTTATGATGTGTTTTATGGCCTCATTTGTGACCCAGGAGTTCGCCTCTTGGTTTGCCTGTGGTCAGATGCAGACGGCAATGGGCAGGACTCCAGATATGAAAATGTATGAGGACTACAGTATGTCTAAATCCCTTTAATGAAGGCGGCAATTAATGTTGGTGCCGGATGTTCCCTGGAATCGTTTTAAGAGATGTCAGAAGTGGATCAGACTTCCAGCTGGCTGAGCAGGGTGACTGGGTGCATAACCTCTGGCTCACGCTAACGGTACTGGTGCATGGCAATGATGGACAAGGAAAAGACGGGCTGGTGCTGCACACTGACCACGACCATAGTTCTGAGAGCGAGGCGTAACATGGCTGTAAGTAAGTGATTAATCTTAATAATCATTCGTAATGCATTGGTTTTATACAGCGCTTTTTTGGACACTCAAAGACGCTTCACATGCCATTCTTCATTCACTCCAAACACGGTGGTGATAAACTACTAATATAGCCACAGCTGCCCTGGGCCACACTGACAGAAGCGAGGCAACCAGTATGTGCCATCGGCCCCTCCCACCACCACCAACCATTCACACACACACCAGACTCATTCTATCTCTTAATTTATACAGCGCCTTTCACAGACCAGAGTCACAAAGCACTTAACAATTGTGGGCATTTGTCTCTCTGTCTTTACAGAGATGGTACAGGAGGCACATGTCAGACTTATTTATATGTTTTTAATGGTAGGGGAAACCGGAGCACCTGGAGGAAACCTACGCAGACACGGGAAGAACATGCAAACTCCACTCAGAAAGTGGTTTCGACCGGGACCCGAACTCAGGACCTTCTTGATGAGAAGCGAGAGTGCTAACTAGCGGATTGCCCGACTGTCTGTTGGTACAGTATGTTTCAACTGCTCATGTGTAGATTTGGTCGACTGTAATGCAAGGATGTTGTGCAATCACGGGGTGTGTGCAATAATCTGATGTGTGCAATAATCTGATGTGTGCAATTGTTGTGTGTGTGCAATGATGTAGACTCTAACATTGTGGATTTTGGTGGACTACTAATGTATCAGTAATCAGTCCTGCCTCAATCCTGCCTCAGTCCTGCCTCGGTCCTGCCTCAGTCCTGCCTCAGTCCTGCCTCAGTCCTGCCTCGGTCCTGCCTCAGTCCTGCCTCAGTCCTGCCTCAGTCCTGCCTCAGTCCTGCCTCGGTCCTGCCTCGGTCCTGCCTCAGTCCTGCCTCAGTCCTGCCTCAATCCTGCCTCAGTCCTGCCTCAATCCTGCCTCAGTCCTGCCTCTGTCCTGCCTTAATCCTGCCTCAGTCCTGCCTCAGTCCTGCCTCAATCCTGCCTCGGTCCTGCCTCGGTCCTGCCTCAATCCTGCCTCAGTCCTGCCTCAGTCCTGCCTCAGTCCTGCCTCAGTCCTGCCTCGGTCCTGCCTCAGTCCTGCCTCAATCCTGCCTCAATCCTGCCTCGGTCCTGCCTCGGTCCTGCCTCAGTCCTGCCTCAGTCCTGCCTCAGTCCTGCCTCAATCCTGCCTCAATCCTGCCTCAATCCTGCCTCGGTCTTGCCTCGGTCCTGCCTCAGTCCTGCCTCAATCCTGCCTCAGTCCTGCCTCGGTCCTGCCTCAATCCTGCCTCAGTCCTGCCTCAGTCCTGCCTCAGTCCTGCCTCAGTCCTGCCTCAATCCTGCCTCGGTCCTGCCTCAATCCTGCCTCAGTCCTGCCTCAGTCCTGCCTCAGTCCTGCCTCAATCCTGCCTCAGTCCTGCCTCAGTCCTGCCTCGGTCCTGCCTCAGTCCTGCCTCTGTCCTGCCTCAATCCTGCCACAGTCCTGCCTCAGTCCTGCCTCAGTCCAGCCTCAGTCCTGCCTCAGTCCTGCCTCAATCCTGCCTCGGTCCTGCCTCGGTCCTGCCTCGGTCCTGCCTCGGTCCTGCCTCAGTCCTGCCTCAGTCCTGCCTCAGTCCAGCCTCAGTCCTGCCTCAATCCTGCCTCAGTCCTGCCTCGGTCCTGCCTCAGTCCTGCCTCAGTCCTGCCTCAATCCTGCCTCAGTCCTGCCTCAGTCCTGCCTCGGTCTTGCCTCAGTCCTGCCTCTGTCCTAACTCAATCCTGCCACAGTCCTGCCTCAGTCCTGCCTCAGTCCTGCCTCAATCCTGCCTCGGTCCTGCCTCGGTCCTGCCTTGGTCCTGCCTCAGTCCTGCCTCAGTCCTGCCTCAGTCCTGCCTCAGTCCTGCCTCAATCCTGCCTCAATCCTGCATCAGTCCCTGCCTCGGTCCTGCCTCAGTCCTGCCTCAGTCCTGCCTCAATCCTGCCTCAGTCCTGCCTCAGTCCTGCCCCAATCCTCTCTCAATCCTGCCTCAGTCCTGCCTCAATCCTGCCTCAGTCCTGCCTCAGTCCTGCCTCAGTCCTGCCTCAGTCCTGCCTCAGTCCTGCCTCAGTCCTGCCTCAGTCCTGCCTCAGTCCTGCCTCAGTCCTGCCTCAATCCTGCCTCGGTCCTGCCTCGGTCCTGCCTCGGTCCTGCCTCGGTCCTGCCTCAGTCCTGCCTCAGTCCTGCCTCAGTTCTGCCTCAGTCCTGCCTCAATCCTGCCTCATTCCTGCCTCAGTCCTGCCTCGGTCCTGCCTCAGTCCTGCCTCAGTCCTGCCTCAATCCTGCCTCAGTCCTGCCTCAGTCCTGCCTCAGTCCTGCCTCAGTCCTGCCTCAATCCTCTCTCAATCCTGCCTCAGTCCTGCCTCAATCCTGCCTCAGTCCTGCCTCAGTCCTGCCTCAGTCCAGCCTCAGTCCTGCCTCGGTCCTGCCTCAGTCCTGCCTCAGTCCTGCCTCAGTCCTGCCTCAGTCCTGCCTCAGTCCTGCCTCAATCCTGCCTCAATCCTGCCTCAGTCCTGCCTCGGTCCTCCCTCAGTCCTGCCTCAGTCCTGCCTCAGTCCTGCCTCAATCCTGCCTCAGTCCTGCCTCAGTCCTGCCTCAATCCTGCCTCAGTCCTGCCTCAATCCTGCCTCAGTCCTGCCTCAATCCTGCCTCAGTCCTGCCTCAGTCCTGCCTCAGTCCTGCCTCTGTCCTGCCTTAATCCTGCCTCAGTCCTGCCTCAGTCCTGCCTCAGTCGTGCCTCAATCCTGCCTCAGTCCTGCCTCGGTCCTGCCTCAATCCTGCCTCAGTCCTGCCTCAGTCCTGCCTCAATCCTGCCTCAGTCCTGCCTCGGTCCTGCCTCAGTCCTGCCTCAGTCCTGCCTTAGTCCTGCCTCAGTCCTGCCTCAGTCCTGCCTCAATCCTGCCTCAATCCTGCCTCAGTCCTGCCTCAATCCTGCCTCTGTCCTGCCTCAATCCTGCCTCAGTCCTGCCTCAATCCTGCCTCAATCCTGCTCAGTCCTGCCTCAGTCCTGCCTCAATCCTGCCTCAATCCTGCCTCAATCCTGCCTCAATCCTGCCTCAATCCTGCCTCAGTCCTGCCTCAGTCCTGCCTCTGTCCTGCCTCAGTCCTGCCTCAGTCCTGCCGCGGTCCTGCATTGCGTGGCCTCGGTCTTCATTCTATAGCGGTCTGTGGGAGCGGATCCCTCCCTCAGTGTGGGCCTCCCGGAGGTTTCTCACTTCCTCCCACTGGGTTGTTCCTCGTTGCTGCAGATGAGTCCAAGGACAGTGATCCCGGACACTCCACATTCAACGACATTTATCAACCTTTACAGAAATTAGTCACCTGACCCTAATGGACCCATGGCTCCAGAATCATAACAAGAATCATCACACCGGGGGCACCAACACCACAACACACACACACACACACACACACACACACACACACACACACACACACACACACACACACACACACACACACACACACACACACACAGTTAGGCAAATATAAAACTCTTAAAAAGCATCATGAAAAGCTACTAAGAGCGATAAAGAGAAGCAGATCAAACGGCTCTATGTGTTTTCTATCATTTCGTTTCTTGTGTTTGAACGGTTTGATTCTCTGATCTGTGAGTTTGCCGGTTTTGTCCTTTGAGGTAACTGCTGCTGGGATGTAGTCATATACAAAAATATATTGAATTGAATCGAACTGTAGCTGAAGTCATAATGATGAAGGAGAGAGCTCATGTTACCGTACCTCTGTCAGCAGCGTCTCCAAACTGTCTCCAAAATGTCTCCAAACTGTCTCTAAACTGTCTCCAAAATGTCCCCAAACTGTCTCCAAACTGTCTCCAAACTGTCTCCAAATTGTCTCCAAACTGTCTCCAAACTGTCTCCAAACTGTCTCCAAATTGTCTCCAAACTGTCTCCAAACTGTCTCCAAACTGTCTCCAAAATGTCTCCAAACTGTCTCCAAACTGTCTCCAAACTGTCTCCAAACTGTCTCCAAATTGTCTCCAAACTGTCTCCAAACTGTCTCCAAACTGTCTCCAAAATGTCTCCAAACTGTCTCCAAACTGTCTCCAAACTGTCTCCATACTCCAAACTGTCTCCAAACTGTCTCCAAACTGTCTCCAAAATGTCTCCAAACTGTCTCCAAACTGTCTCCAAACTGTCTCCATACTCCAAACTGTCTCCAAACTGTCTCCAAAATGTCTCCAAACTGTCTCCAAACTGTCTCCAAAATGTCTCCAAAATGTATCCAAACTGTCTCCAAACTGTCTCCAAACTGTCTCCAAACTGTTTCCAAACTGTATCCAAACTGTCTCCAAAATGTCTCCAAAATGTATCCAAACTGTCTCCAAACTGTCTCCAAACTGTTTCCAAACTGTCTCCAAACTGTCCCCAAACTGTCTCCAAACTGTCTCCAAAATGTCTCCAAAATGTCTCCAAACTGTCTCCAAACTGTCTCCAACTGTCTCCAAACTGTCTCCAAACTGTCTCCAACTGTCTCCAAACTGTCTCCAAACTGTCTCCAAACTGTCTCCAAACTGTCTCCAAACTGTCTCCAAACTGTCTCCAAAATGTCTCCAAAATGTCTCCAAACTGTCTCCAAACTGTCTCCAAACTGTCTCCAACTGTCTCCAAACTGTCTCCAAACTGTCTCCAAACTGTCTCCAACTGTCTCCAAACTGTCTCCAAACTGTCTCCAAACTGACTGTCTCCAAACTGTCTCCAAACTGTCTCCAAACTGTCTCCAAACTGTCTCCAAACTGTCTCCAACTGTCTCCAAACTGTCTCCAAACTGTCTCCAACTGTCTCCAAACTGTCTCCAAACTGTCTCCATACTCCAAACTGTCTCCAAACTGTCTCCAAACTGTCTCCAAAAACTGTCTCCAAACTGTCTCCAAACTGTCTCCAACTGTCTCCAAACTGTCTCCAAACTGTCTCCAAACTGTCTCCAAAATGTCTCCAAACTGTCTCCAAACTGTCTCCAAAATGTCTCCAAAATGTATCCA